CCACTGTGTTTGGGGCAGACCTGTCATAGCACCTCAAGGTACATATTTCCTATAAATGCATCCACTCATCTCCAGTGTGAGTGTTCTCTTCTTGACATCGACATCACATTCTGTGAAGTGCTGGTTGCTTCTCTCTCCACTAGGGTTGCCAGGTCTTACTTGGCGGCCAGCGGAGGGGTCCCGGATCCGGAGACCCAGAAGTGATGTCATCACACAGGGCATGTTTGGGGGGGGGGCTCTATCATTTAAAGAAAACCAATTTTCCTTGAATGACAGAGCATCCCCCCACACCGGGCACACTGGCCCAAACATGGCACTTGGGGGCAGGTTTCCCCATCGGCTGAATCTGGGCTAGCAGATCCGGGCCCTAAAAGCGGGCAACACCCCCCCCCCCATGGGGGAATGGCAAGCCTACTGTCCACGGACCTGAATCTCCAAGATTGGTGAATATTGTCACGGGCTGGGCTTGGGCTGAGAGGCAGAAGTCAAGTCTGGTCTGAGGTTACTGCCAGGAGAGTCCGAGCAAGGAGTATAACAAAGATTAGCCTGGCTACCCACAAGTTTTGGCTAGGATGTCTCTCTAAGATAAACAGAACTCTGAAACACCAAGTTATTACATACTCACTAGATTGATGTTTGGTTACTCTGATTTCTACTACACATAGTTCGCAGATGTTGAATCTTTGTACATGTTTTACACCTTTACATGATAAGTTAGCATACTGTTTATGTTCGATGTTCTGTATTTAATGTCAAATTATAAGGTTTCTTGATTATACTTTGTGAAAAATTCAATAAAATATTAATAACAAAATCCTCCCCCCCCCAAAAAGGAGAGTCCGAGCGAGAGCCAAATTGTGAGTCCAAAAGAGGGGTTATCTGAAGCAGGGGTCAGGAAGCCAGGAATCCGAGCTAGAGTGGGGGGGCCTGAGGGCAGGAGCTGAAGGTGGATGTGAGGCATGCATGGAGGTGACTTGATGCTTCCAGGAGAGCCCAATCCTGAGTGGGAGTTATATAGGCCTCCAGTCGGGCTTCCCATGGTGGTGGCACCACTCCTGAAAATACTCCGGACTCGGCGCTCCCCTTCCCTGTCAGCATGCATCTCAACATCGGGTGGCTGAGTCTCTGCGGAGCCGCTCCCTTAGCTGAACTACCCGTGGAGGTGAGTCAGGCGGGCTCCCTCGGTTGCACCTGTGCTTCCTCGGCTGCTGCAGGACCAGGTGCAGGGTTTACAGGCTCAGGCACTGGCAAGCTATCAACTCATGAGGAGTCAGAGGGGCTGGCTTCTGGTTGTAACAATGCTGGCACCTCTGGCTGTGATGCCAACTCAAGCGGGGACTCAGCATCGTCATCATCATTCATGACAAATATAACCCTTAAACTGCCTTGCTTTTCCCCACTCCTCTCTATTTTTCTTAGTTAATTTGTGTGTTTCCCCATGTGCTTTGTGTGTATGTTATATTCTTTTATTATTTTTCAATAAAGACACTTCCAGTTGAACATCTGACTGGTTTACTTTGCGAGCTTCTCTAAGGGAATAATCCTGATATACAAAGGTGGAGATCCCTCTCGCTTGTCTCCTTAAGCTAATTACTGACCAGATTTTGGAGACTAACTGTTTTGGATAACACAGTATGCAGAAAAAACAAACCAGAGTGGGGGGAAAGCCTGACTTTTCCCAGCACCCTCCCTTGTCTAGCATCTAACCCAAAGACCAAAAACCAGCTGGTTGGCACCTGTGACAGAGGTATATAGTATATGACCAGCTGGGAACTGACTGAGCAATGATATACATCCAGATCTGGAAGGATATCAAGAGGCTCATATGGTTCTTTCCTCCAACTTTATTCTGCTCTCCAGACGGGCAGAAGCACATTGGCATGAAGCAGTCCTTGAACTAGTAGTGTTTACAAAGTCAGGTTATGGGTGTACTTCTTCAGGAAAAAATATGAATAAATCTTCTGCCTGCTCTCAGGACTAATAGGAGAAGAATTAGTTCAGTGTAACAAACACACATGAACCATTTCCTCTTAATACAACTTCAGAGTCTTGGTACCAGTCCCTTTTGCAAACAGTTTGAAACCCACCTTTTGAATGGAGCTAGGTAGGGGCCAGGTTTCCTTAAATCTTTTGCAAAATGTAGTTCATTCACAAGGACAAATAAAAAGCATATTAAAATGCACCACCACTCAGACCAATTTAAAGACGACCTTCGGTTTCATACCTGGCATTGCATAGAAGTCATGTTGACACATGTTCCACCACCTATATGACCCCCCACACCCCTGTCTGACTTCTGGGTTATGGTAAGTATAGTTTGCCCTATTCAGCCCACACAAGAAATTATTAGTTTAACAGTTATACAACACACACATCCCCAAAGCTGTAAAATAGTTAATGAATAATTTTCATTGTGACGTCAAATCAGGAAGTGAAGAAAGGGAAATAATCCCTGAAGAGATTAAAATAGCGCATGAGCCTGAGGCATGGCCCCCAACAGCCATAAAATCTCACCCAATCTCTTCCATGTAATATTCTGCCAAGAACTATAAATGGCAAGGCCTACATTAGGGTTCCCTAATGTGGTGTTCATCAGTGCCTCCCTTGGCACCTGCTGAGCTTTTCAGAAAGTGGATGGGGCCATTGTAAGACAGGTAGAGCTGGCAACCCCCAGGATGGGGCAAGGCAACACTTGTCCCATATAAAACTGGCAGTAGCATCACATCAGTTTTTTACTGGAAGTAACATAGGGTAGCTCTACGAATCACCAGAAACTCTATGATGAATATGGTTTTATCATAAAGTTTCTGGTGATTCCTAGAGTTCCCTATTTCACTTCCTTTTTTTAACCAGAAGTGAGGTGATGCCACAGCCAGCATTGTGAGACCCCACTTATCCCCACTCAAAGCCCTCCTGCACTGCCAGGAACCCTAAAGGCAGGGCTTGTTATAAAATGAAAGTGTTTTCCATTGGAGGATTGGGAGGAATAGGCTTTCCTTTAGTCATTGTGTGTTTCCACTCCCCCTTCACAATATCCTTCTTTGGGGCTTTTTTTTCTGGGGGAACACACCAGAATGGAGTTCTGGAACCTCTTCAATAACATTCTTTTCTGGGGGAACACGTTTTCAGTATACAGATTGAAAACTTCATTTCCCTCTTGAGAGTTCCGGCACCTCTTTAAAAAACAAAACAAAAACAAAAATAAAATCCTGTCCTTCTTCCAAAGAGGTATGAGGAGGGAGGTACCCCATGTGGCTCTGCTTGCTGAGGCAGCCATTATTGGTTTGGCTTCACCTCCTGTAGCAACCATTATGGGGTGGTGCTCACCTCCCTCTGTCAAAGTTCCAAAGGTGCTTACAGGCTTACAAAGATTGGGGACCCCAGACTACACGAAACATATTTTCTAAATGTGGAAACTAGGGTTGCCACCCCACCCCCCCGGGCATGTTGCATGGAGGACGCTCTAGCATTTGGTGAGAAACACTATGGTAACCAGAGTTTCCCCCCAGATGCTAGAGTATCTCCCACATGAAATGCCGTGCGTGATGGCATCACTTCTGAGTGACGTCATCATTGCACACATGTGCCAGAAGTCTCCAGGAAGAAGACAGGAGCCCCCCACCAGAACATAGTAAGGACTTGGTAACCCTAGTGGAAACAGTACTGCAGAATCTTGAAGATGATACATCCACTTTTCATCTTCCCCATTTTGTTACTTTCCATTGTGAATGCATTCAGGTGTTACTTGTATGTAGATTATAAACTGTAAATTGACGACAGCTTCCTGGACCTTGTAGTGACCTCAGTACCCTTGGCATACAGTGCCACAGTACACAGCAGTTCTTGATTTGTTTAGGATTAGACTATACCAAAGGTATGAGCTTGTATACAAGAGATCCTTGAGAATGTTGCTATAAAGGCATCATTGGGTCATCGGGACATGGGCTCCACTGTTTGCTGTTGTGGGGAGGGCGGGCTATAAATTGAAATTATAAATGGAAATTGAAGTACGAAACCAACTCCAGACTCATAGAAACTGTAACACCCACTCAGCCTGTCCAGATACAGGCAAGAGATTGGTGCATACAATTTAATGAGTACCTTGGCTTGCGTCATCATGGTTGTAGTTAAGCTATCCATTGCAAGTTTGTAGGCCTGGCTTGCCTTTACATGAAGAAACTCCTGTCCATCAGGCTTAATAAATACAATAGGAGCTTTTGGCACTTATCCCCATGGGTGTGTCAACAGCAGAAACCAACCAGAGTCAACAATAAAGTTTGTTATAAACAGGTCCTAGTGTAAAGTGACTGCTGCTCTGCTGTCCAATAAAAAGTCAATCTCTCAGCCAGCAAAGCAATAACTAGTTTGGTTAAACAGATCTCAGCATCACTTAATATGCACCGTATAATCATATGCTGTACAAGACTATAAGGGGCATGCAGTCCGAGGAGAGCATCAGAAGAGGCCAGAAACTAATCTAATTAGGCTTTTGGAATGTTTACTTTGAGACAAAGATTATTCACATGCCTTGTTCATGATAAGTACATTCACAGACTATAAATCCAATATAAATCCTTTATAGTACTCTGGTACTGTTGGAATTCATAAGTACTAGATGGAACAAAGGACAGTATTATGTGATCAAAATTAATTATAACACATTAGATATGGCCATAAGTAAACCTTATGTTGATCAATTATACATCCGGTTAAGACACTCTCAAGAAAGCCTAGTATTTCTTGTCTAAATCTGTCCAACCTATTCCCCATCAATCTGAAGGGCATCATACAGCACAATCCAAACCATATTCAGAAGGGTGTTTGCCTGGACTGTATTTTGTCTCATCTTATTAGATCTACTGACACAGGACTTTGAGTTATCAGGCCCATGGGGCTTTTATTAAGTAACTACTGACATGGTTAGGATTCCGCTAACCAGTCCTTTATTAGTACACCAAGTACATCATTGCTCATTGTCAGAGAAACAAAATAGTACTTACAGCTATGGCCAGGTTAAACAAAACCATCATGACCTTCAAGAAACTGAAGCAACTCATATTGGTATCTAAAGAAAGAAGTTAACAATGATCTAGTCAGTTAACTGCAGAGAGATAAAACCAACAAACCTCCCAGACTTTGAACATAGAATTCAGTTTATGACCTGATCCTAAAAAGTTTATGCAAAAATCCCAATATGATGCTGGTGAAGCTTACTTCTTGGTAAGAATACTTTAGACCACAGACTCAGAAAAAAATCATAGCCAGTTTATGACTGTTGTATTTGTTTTTGAAAAAAACACAGCCCTAAAGGCAGAGGAGAAACACGCTACCCCAAAAGACCCAAGGCCCCCAATACCAGCTAGATAAATTCCCTCCCACATTCTAAACCACATATTTTTAAAATAAATTTAAGGGAACACACTGACGCAGTCTATAGCATAGAACATTAGAGACATTTTATCATGAGTTTCACAACCTCAATATTTGTTGCTGATTCTTTTCAAAGGAAATGCACAGAGATCTTCCTCAAGTAAACTTTTTTAAAGCAGAGAGGCTCTATAGAGCTTCCTGCCACAACAAAAAGATAAATTAAAGCCACTACATCCTTAACCTACATCAAATCTCATCTTCAGTTTAGGAAATTATCCTCCCATGACAACCTCCAGCCCCCCCACAGGGAGATAATTCCACACAGAACTTACCTTTAAGGGCAACTCCAAAAATAACTTGAAACACTCTTACTATTGTTCCACTAGACAGGACACCCAGCTTCTTAAGCAAACCTATGCTTGTTGTTTCAGCCTATCAAAAACATCTCCCTTTCAAGCCAATCAAATCTCTTTTAAAGCAAAGGCCACACCTCACCAACTTCTATTTAAAAAAAACACACTATAGGACTAGGAAGCTGATTTCTTTTATTCTTTACTGCTCTCTAGTGGCTACAGGTGACTGTTTCTTCATTCACTGAGGGGTAGTAAATGGTTATGCTACAGGACTGCACAACTTGTGACCCACCCAGCCAAAGGTTAGCCTGTCAATTATCTACTGTGGCCACCCAGGTGGTTGACAACAACACTCCACTGATTTTCCTTGACAGGCTACCCTACCAGCAGTTTTATCAAGTCACTGGTAGGCTGAGTTTGGCTTGGTGGTCACAAGCAGTGCCAGCCTACACTGGAGAATGGAAGCTGTTGGTGTTTATAAACGTTGGTTCTAGCATGAATGCATACTGGACCATTCTCTTTACTGAATTTAGACCAACAGCTGTCCAGTCTTGTAGCCTACTTCCCACAGCAGCTAATTCTATATAGTTTACCACAGAAGGGACTCTGACATTCTCATCAGCAGGGTTGCCATTTAGGACAGGCCAGGGAGGGAAGAGAGCAACCTTTGCCTCAGGAGCTCCAAGTGGCTATTGCTGAAAGCAATTATGACAATCTAGGCACTAAGTATGGAGCTGCGGTGGCTCAAGTGGTTAAGATGCTGAACTGCAGGCTGTGGAAGGTCGGTAGTTCAGCAGTTCGAGACCCGAGTTTTGCGCCGCATGACGGAGTGAGCTCCTGTCTCTAGTTCCAGTTCCTGCCAACCTAGCAGTTCGAAAGCAAGAAATTGCAAGTAGATAAATAGGTACCACTTCAGTGGGAAGGTAATAGCGTTCTGTGCACCTTGGTGTTTAGTCATGCCGGCCACATGACCATGAAAATGTCTTCAGACAGCGCTGGCTCTTCGGCTTTGAAATGGAGATTAGCACCGCAACCCTAGAGTCGGATTCAAATGGCTTTTGAGCAAGGGAACCTTTACCTTTTTAGGCACTAAGTATGTAGGTCTAAGGCTAACAAGAAGTTAACTGTCCTGTTCTAACATTCCTATTACAAGGTATAAATAGGGACAAAAATAATCACAGCAAATTATCTTAACATATATGACTTTATCACAGTTTAATCCTGAATGAAGCCATCTATGTATTAATTTTGTATTTTTTCCCATTAGCATTAGTGATTTAACAAAAGTAACAGTTGAAAGGGAAAATCAATAAGCCATCTCATAGAACAAAGTTAAAGTCCAGTCGCACATTTAAGACCAACAATGTTTTATTCAAACACACAAAAGCTCACACCTTGAATAAAACTTTGTTGGTCTTAAAGGTGCCACTGGACTCTAACTTTGTTCTGTTGCTTCAGACCAAAATGGCTGCCCACCTTAAGCCATCCCATGTTTCTGAAAAGACTTCTTCAAAATCTATTCAAAATGTGAACACTACTTACACCAGACCACTGGGAGGCATAGTGACATCATATAAAAAGTCTTCATTGCCTAAATCTCTGGAAAGGAATAAGATCCTGGCTTTGGGGCTCATACAAGATAGTGTGTGACAACTTCTGAACTACTTAGCACACACACAAGAAACTCCCAGGTTACTTTGAAGCTCTGTATGTCATCCCAGTTACTATGATAAGCATTAGAAAAGAGCAAGAGTTCCAGTAGCACCTCAAAGACTAACAAGATAGGTGGCAGGGCATGAGCTTTTGTGAGTCACTGCTCACTTCTTCAGATACAGCTACAGATCAGAGACGAAAGAGGGCAAAGTGTTGATGGGGATAATAGCTACCTTCCAAAGAGAAGAGTCTGCAATGAAGAGCAGACGGCTTGGCCAGCAAGCCCATCTGTGAAGACCCAAGAGAGATGAGGGATTCAGCCAGTACACATCCCAGGAGACTGAACCCAAGATGGACCAGAATGGCCAGTAATGGCTCAAAAGGGGTTTTGGACAAAGAAAGCCTAGACTTGAGAAGGGAATAGACCATGGCCAGGGTAGTTCCAATGTCGGGGGCAAAGTCCAGAGGTATGATTGTTGGAAGCAGAGCTGGAATGCAAATATGCAGATACCTGAGATGCTGAAAGTAAGTCATTGTCCTTTCATGGTGACAGATAGATGCTTGCTGTATCTGAGCTGGATGGCTGAAGAAGTCAAAGTGATGGTCCTGAGCACATGCCTGGGCTTGATGGCCTTGCACACAAAGAAGGCTAGACTCATACAGTAAGGAGAGAAACATGAACTCCTAAATGTTGTTAATTTTACTTGCAAGAGTGAGATTTTAAAAAATGCTTTCAGTTCTGATGGCATAAAATATGGCCACTAAAAACCAATGCTTCCTAAATCATTACTGGGAGTCTTATATGTTAAGGATGACTGGTGATTAGATATTCCAAGGTCCCTGCCACACGGGGGGGGGGGGGGAGGGGAGGGGCTTGAAAGCTGCACCAAAATAGAGACGCGGTGGCGGGATCATACAGATCCCGTGAGCTGCCGCGCAATCGCTTCGCGGCACGATCAGATGCCGGGGAGACCGGGGACAAAGCGATGGGAGGCTGCCAAACTGCACATGTGTGAGCATGCGCAGTTTGGCCAGGAGCCGGGGATGCACCGGCAGAAAGACGAGCCAGCGATCCCACGGCCGCGCTTGCCCCGGCCGTTCCGGTAAGACCTCCTCTGGAGGTGGTGTATTTTTGATGCGGGTTTTCGGCCGGAAGGGCCGGATCGGGGACGGGTGCACAACGTTTCCCAGATGTTGCGGTGGGATCGCGCCCGTTTGCTGCGTCCCCGATCCGTCCCTCTCCCGGCCCAAAACCTTTCGTGTGACCGGGGCCCAAGTGTCTTTTTAAGCTGAATTCAGGTTAGGATGTGTAGGAAGAAGAGAGTAGGTCTATCCTTTCCCCTGCATTATTATTCTAATTGAAACTGATCCCCCCAGTTATTTATATTTATAACTTGCTTTCCCCTGGGCCAATAAACTAATGTTTTATCAATGAAGACCAGCAGATATATCTGTCTCAGTGATGTTTTTGGGTCATTCCATCAACAATATGATGAACAAGAGTTCAGCTCTTCCTTGAGAAAAGAAAGATCCCATTTATTTCAGGAGAGAAAATTGCCAGCAGATGGAAATAAGTCCATTAATGTTCCTGTGGTATGTTATTTTAGCTTCCCTTTAACGTAGCCAAAGGGCAGGCAAGAATCCATATGTGGTTTCTGGAACTTTGGCATGAATTGAACCTCATTGTGTTGGGGGAGGATACGTGGAAATTGTATTTGCAGGTTGTGGTTTACGAAATCATCAACTGGCCTGTAAAATAAAAAGACACACAATAGAGCAAGGGTCCCAAATGTTTTTGAGGCTGTGGGTATAACCTCTGCCTGCATGACTTCTATGAGGCTAAATTAGGAGCAGAACTTGTAAGACAATGGCCCCAGGCACACGAGCGAAATAATCTGGGGGGGAAATGAGGCTTTTTGCTCCAGAGCAAAATTAAGCGTGGTATCACAACCCGACGTTCCCCCGAGGCTTCCCAATCACACGGTGATGGCAAAGCATGGCAACAAAGCAGTACCGCGTTTGTGCATGTATGTGTTTGTGCACATACCATGGAGGCTTACAAGAAAACATCTGGTGGGACGCGGATGAGCGCCAGATGCAACGAGATACCAGCGTTTCCACGATCAGATGCCCGCCCGCACCCCGCCCTGCCGAGTTAACGCATGCGTGCAAACCGCCTCCCAACTACTTTTTAACTCCGCAGCTTCGGCCGGACGCTACAGGTTGGAAACGGGTGCGTGACACTTGCCAGATGTTGCCGTATGATCATGCCCTTTTAATCTGCCCAGCAGTTGTGCCTCTTGCGTGGCAAATTCTCCGTGTGACCAGGACCAATGTAAGTTAATCAATTTCTTTAAGTCAAAATCCTCTGACACACATAACAGTACAAGATTTGTGTCACAGAGGTTTAACAGAGAACAGAAGCTTGCAACAGATAATGTCTTTGGCTTCTTTTAAGCAACTGGCTATTGGGTGATACAACTCTGAGGTTACCGAAGTCCAACTTTTCTGGTCCACCAAGTGCTAATGGGTTCTGATGCAGTCCTATTACTTAAAGGAACAAACAAGACATCACAGAAACCAAGTTTCAAGTCTTAAGCTTGAAAAATACAGCCCCACAAATAACAATATGATCCCAATAATAATACCGCCATACTAAATTTACCCCCCCTTAACACTGCACATACATACATTTCAATCAACTTGAAATGAGAGCCAGTTTGGTGTAGTGGTTAAGTGCGCGGACTCTAATCTGGGAGAACCAGGTTTGATTCCCCACTCCTCCACTTGCACCTGCTGATGTGACCGTGGGTCAGTCACAAGCTCTGGCACAGCTGTCCTTGGAAAAGAGCAGTTTGTGTCAGAGTTCTCTCAGCCCCACCTGCCTCACAGGGTGTCTGTTGTAGGGAGGGGAAGGGAAAGGAGTTTGTAAGCCGCTCTGAAACTCCAAGTGAAGGGCGGGGTATAAATCCAATCTCTTCTTCTTCTCTTCTTCTTCTTCTTATACAAGGAGATGAAGAGCTCAGAATCGTATGCGGCTCTCCAGTAAACAAGACTCTCCCTATGCTACTGGCTTTCATTCACAGACTCCACTCCTACTAGGCTACACCAGTTAGTTCCTGGGGGTTACACAGCCACCTTTGGAATTCTGACACAGGGTGGTGGGTGCAACCACAAAAATTGTTGCCACAGGAGATGGAGCCAAAGCTAACTGCAAAATGTCAGGGAGTGGGGTTATGCTTAACTCTAATAGTAACTCCTCAACTTTTCAGGCAGAAGCTCTGTTTAACAGGATGCCTTGACAAATGAACATATTGCTCAAAAATATTTTCGTCCATAAACACAGCTTACTTTTGATCCTTGTGCGGTGGTAGCTGCCACTTTGGATATAGTTTGG